AACAGCTGATCGGCTGTTTGTCGGCTCCACGCGGCAGCCATGTAAATTTAAATGAAGCGGCGATTATTTAAATCGCCGCTTCATTTTACTATGTCGGGTAGCCTAATCCACATGCCTCTGTTGCCAGAGGCATGTAGTCTAGACGTACCCTAGGACTAGAAGAGAGGGTTTGGAACGCTCCATAATTGCCCTGTTCAGTGCCTCAAACATCTGTCACTGGCCACTAGCAGAAGATAGGATGCTGGGCTAGGTGGATCGTGGCTGTTCTTATGTTCTTACCAACTGTGATGTATGAATGGGAGAGTTGTAGCCCCAAAATCATTGTGAACAAAAACAGTTAAAATAGTACTCTCTTCTACCTTAGAAGAAAGAAATACCCTGCAGTGTAAAAGCTAGGTTGAGGACAGCCTCTCTTGGATGAGATGAACAATGCTATGGAAATGTACAACCATTTACAACGCTGAGGATGCCCACATTTTGAGACAGTTAATTTTCTTACCTTTCCATGACTTGATTCTGGATGGCAGTGCTGGGGCACTTAAAATGCTGCAGGTCCCTTGAAGTACAGCATGTGGAGCTCCAAAAGGCCCTTTTAGCTGTCTGTGCTGGAAGGGCAAGTCATTCTGTTGCTGTTTCTGCTGAGCGGCAGAGCGACCACCATTGCTTTGAACTGCCTATTGGCCTTGGGTGGCCATATGGCCCTATTAAATGCTCCAGGCAACAGGACACTCTCTCTCCAGAACTATCGCATCAAATTGATTTATTCAACAAGACAGTCCACAAAGCAACCCATTTATTCTACAGTATTTTCTACAAAGTGAAAAGTGTTGGTCATTGGCTCTGATTTCATGCCATGAGGAGGAGTGATTGCATCGAATTCCTTGGCTCCTCAGTCAGTTAGTTTGTTGCAGTGAAGCTGCCCTGGCATATGATGCTTTATATAAAACAGTAATACCCTGTTTAACTGCTGTTTAGTCACTTACTTTGCTAAGTTGGGCGATGGTGGGGTACCACCTTAACAGGATTCATCTCTTTGCCAAAGCACCTCATCGGCCATCAAGTCACTTCCATGCTACATTCAGAAGAGCAGGCCAAGGTCTGCTGCATGTCGTGCAGGACACCCACATGCTGCCTCATGAGGTCCTCTTGGATCCTTGTGCGCTTGACGCTCCCCCAGGTTCGTGCGGCTGCCTCCGATGGCGTGGAGCGCACCTCAGCGATGGCTGGTCCGGCTGTGGAGACTAAAGAGGGAGAGTCGGTCAGTCATCTATGGAGACACTGTCCCTGAAGCCGTGCTTTCCTGTGTGAGCAGTGACCAACAGTGCTCGGGCCAGAGGAGGGGGATGTCCCAGGAGCAAGGCCATGTGTAGCCCGGGCCTCAAGGTGCCCGGGGGACCATGCTTCCCACTTTCTCCTCCCCCCTCCATGGACAAGCAGACAAGGGAAGTGTCCGGCCACACTGGGATCCCAGGGATGGGAGAGAGGCCAGGAGCAGCCTGGCCTTCCCTGGGGCCCCGCACGCACACCTGCGCCTGGCAGCGCTGTCTGCAGGAGTGGGTGGTGCCTCGCACATGCAGGCATGGCTGTGTGCTATGTGCGGCACTCCTTAGTCTGTGTGCAGCTGTGTGTGTGCCCTTGTGCCCAGCCTACTTCCAGTGGTGGGAGGGCGTGCACCCCAGGTGTCAGATGTGTGTGGCCTCCCCTGAGCCTGTGAGCAGGAGCCTGGAGGTGCACTGGGGCTACCTCCTGAAGCCGCATGGCTCAGACTGGCACTACATATGGTTTTCGGAATAAGGCTTCTTCCTTGTAGAATGAGGTTTACCACCGTCGGAAAAACCCCTCCGTTCTTTCGACTTTTTGTCAAAGAACTCAATGGCGGTGTGGTCACAAGTGTTGTTTTCCTGGAAAAACGCTGCAGTGTAGACGCAATGACAACGGAAGAGCCAGCGCAGAGTGATCCGCGCATGCACAGAGTGCAGAACTGCGCAGCTGGCGAGTGGGGCTCGCCGCCGCTTGGCGAGCCCTGACAATGAAGGATATCAAGAATATTATAGGCAGAGGGCTTAGAAATATGCAAGAATCTGAATACCTAGGATTAATGGTTGCTGACAATGGGGCCCTCTTGAATGCTGCTCAGCGTCATACAAAAGCTGCTTGGCACAAATGGAAGGAGCTGAGACCACTTCTCTGTGATGTCAATACAGTTAAAAGTGTGTAAAACTGTAAAACCCATTCTACTCTATCAACCACATGGAAAACAATCAGTAGGCTCTTTACAATGGAAATGAAGATGGTTGGCCACTCTGTGATAGTAAATGAAATGAAGTTATAAGGGGCCTGGATGCAGGTTGCCTCAATTGAAGACAAGTTAAGGGAGGCTAGAATGGATGAAGTAGATATATCCAATATACTCTCAGTATAACAGAGTTATACTGACAGAATGGCCCTTGCAATCCTTGTGGATAGAAGATGACCATGTGGGAGGCCAAAGATTTGGTACATACACCATATATCAGCAGACATTAGAGACACCAATTTGCATGACAGCCAGGCATGTTACCATGACTTGTGAAAGACGGCTATAAAAGTCACTGAGTCCTAAATGGGCAAGAAAGAGAGAGCAGAAGCAGCTAGTTATGTAATAACTATTTTGAAAGGGAAATTTATTTATATGCTGTACCATTTCCCTGCCCTTTGTCGTACACAGTAATTTTTTGCTTGTACAGCATCTAGCACACTGCAGTCTCTCCCAGAAACAAATACCTCCACCATGGCATTTGAACTGGCTCTGGAGTTAGTAGCCTCATTCTAATGCAGACTGATTAACAGTCAATAACCATTCATTACACAACGTAGTGTGTTGGACTGTGTGCTGAGGACTGGAATAGCAGACATTTACTACTACCACTTATTGCAGGCCATCACCATGATGTATCAGTTGGGATGAGTGGAGGGAGAAACAGAAGGGTGGCAGTTTTGGAAAACTGCATCTCGTTAGCTCTAGCAAGGAGGATTAATCCTTCACTTCTATGAACGCTAATCATACACAAAAATAAATAAATAAAATTGCTCAAGAGGAAATAATCAGGGAAACTTAAAAAGAACTGTTTTTATTTTTGGGTTTATTTTGTGAAAGAAAGCATTAGTTTTGTCTTTAAAACTCCCCATATTTAACCCTTACAGGACAAACTTAGAAACCTTATCCTCAATAACATTTTTTTAAAATTAATTCAATAAACTGCCAATAGCCAAATTTTCAAAGGCTGTGGACAAAATTTCCTCTGATTTTATTCTTGATGCTGCAATCAGATTTGTATGGAGAGACTCTTTTATCGAGTTCCACTAATTTTAATGGGATACTGATTGGAGCTGTTTGTTAGATCAAGGACTATGTTCATTCACCACAGGAGCAGAAACAACTTGTTCATGCAGGTGATGTAAAAAAATACAAAAATACCCCTTCGGGTTTAAATGTCTGGCTGTGCATATATATATATTTTGGCCCCATTTCAAAGTACTTAAGCATATAATTGAGCTCATCCTTACTCAGGAAAGTAAATAAGCACATACATGCTTTGAGAATGTGCTCCAATCCCACTAAAGTCAATGGGATTTAATCATACACTTAATGACAAGTAAGTGCTTTGCTGATCTGGGGGTTGAGTGAATACAACTTTGATGACAACCTGGCCCCTAATTAATAAATCAGGCACTTGAATAAAACAGTTAATGTTCTTGCCAGCTCTAAAGGAACAAAGTGCAAAGATCATTTTTACAGAATAGTATAAATGTTTATTTTTCTTTGTGATTTAGCCGACTTTTTACAATATAGAAAAGTGTATTTTTGAATAGGTCTAGTAAATATAAATTTAATTTTTCTACTGTCAGGTAAACAGAACTAGAAAATGAACCTTGTCCCCACCCCAGATTTGTTTAAAATAACTTGACTGTAAATCTTGTTCAGCAGTTTGTTGCAAATGGCCAAGGAAGTACAAAAATTATTTAGTACATACTACACAGGGGGAAAACAAGCTCAATATTTCAGAAAGCTTGTTCAAAACAAGTAGAACTAAGAGCATTTGATTGCACCTTCAAAATCTTTACAAGCAATGCCATCATACATAATCTACAACTGTAATCCAAAGTTTCACAAACATTTTCTCCACACTGTATATAAATACACATCACAAAAGGTGCAATTTAGAATAGGACACAGAATATATACAAAATTAATACAGATTTAGTTCTAGACTATAGAAGGTATATTGCAATCTGTTTGAAAAATAACTTGATTAGGAATTACTTTATCCACTTACACTAATTTACATTTATACAAATCTTACTTTACATACTATATTGAGTTACTAAAAGTAAGATGAACTATCTACATTTAAAGTTATCGCACTGAAATTTTAGAAATCTGGATCCTAATTATTAAAAAAAATACTTTAATATATAGTAGATTCCCTTTTCGCTGATGTGTATATGTGTATTTGCTACATATACACAAACATGTTAAAGAATATATACACACAGTTAAACATGGAGAGAAAATAAAATCCTTTTTGGAAAATAAAAGTATCAATCTTGTGATAATTACAGAGAGGATTAAGATATCTATCTAAATGCCTGTGAATTTAAACATGGTTATTCTCTTTCATTAAATTTAGAGCTATAACAGTTTGTAAATGTGCTGCAGTATCAAAAATGTGATTTGGGACTGTTTGTAGTAAATACTAGAAAAAGTTCCCATCCTTAAGTGCCTTCTATAAACAACTGTATTTGACCTGATTTGATTCCTTCACTATTCCCCATACTAAAAAAGGTCAGGTGTATTTGTTTTTGATGGTGGCCTTGAAATCTGCATCAGTGTATTTGCATGCTATGGCTCAAATTGCAATCCTAAATAACACTTAATGAATCACAAATATTAGAGAAATGACATAAAAAAGATCCAAAGCTGTACACGGAGTCTGATCTTCACACGTGCTCTGATTAACAACTTGGATGCAGCTAGTCTGAAATCCATGCCACATTAGGAAAACACAAGGGTTGGTTCCCTCTCACCCAGTAATTTCAATTTCTGCGTCAGCATACACAACAATAATCTCATTTTCTACCAGTTTCAGGGCACCATCCTCGGAGTTTGCTAAGGACTGCAAACTCTCCCTGGTTTCAGTGAGACGCTAGGATAATCAGGACTTTGCAGGATTGAGCTCTAGATGCACAACAGCATCCTCCTGCTTGATGTTTATCTCACGATGCTGTTGGATGAACAAATTTGTCCTTCGACTTCCATTGTAGATGATTCATCAAGTCGATAATGAAATTTGTCATCATTTAAAGAAAAATATAAATACATTCCTTTTTAAAAGTTATGTCTGAGACCCAGATTCATCAAGGTTTTTAAGAACATATGCTATGCTAAACATGTAAGCTGTCCCAGGTCAACTGTCCACCTGCTTAATGTTATCTGTGCTTAAAAATCTTGGTCAACTTGGTCTTTGTAACACTGATCCATTGCCTTCCAGGGCTGTAGAGTGACATTCTTTTAGCTAAGTTGATATATTGATTTGTGAAGATGCTCATTTCTACAGATTTCCTTTCAGTATTAATTCCTCCACAGATATGCTGATACTGTTTTCTCAGTCTATTGCCCAAAATATTTTCTGCCAGTGTCTGCTTCTTCCATATGAACAAAGTGATACAACTCTATACACTGTAAATAATATATATTATAATAATAATTTATAAAGGCTCTCTGAACAATTTTCTTAGAGAAAGGGGGAGGAAGAAAACATTTAATTCTTACTAAACCCAAGAAAGTTAAAAGCTGTACAACAGGAAGAAAAATTCACCTTTAGGCATCGTCATGAGTAGAAGAGAATTTAGCTAAAATTTAAAAGAATCTACTCCTAATTATAAAAGATTTTCTTGCTTCCGTATTATGCAAGTCAGGTTAAAACAAGCACCAAATTAACAACAAAATAGTATTAAATCCTCTGCTGTGAACCAAAGTGTCCCTGTGCCTTAAATGTCATGTTCAGTTCAATTTACCCTGGCTCATGTACACGAGTCAGCAGTTCATGGCACAGGGCTCACTTTTGGACTTTCCTGCCGAATTAATGACTCTCATCAAACACCGTCCAAATTCCTCCAGGATCATGCGCTCTGCTGCGGCTTTTGACTTGCCCATCTTCTCAGCCCTCTCAGCCTGGGCAAGCAGACAGTCACAAGTCGCGTCAGCCACCTCCTTGGTTACAAAAGTAAATGGCAATCTGAAATGGAAATAAAAACATCAGTGAGCTACAACCTTTGCACTACATACAAAACTCTCTGAAGCTGTCAAAAGTCAGAAGCTTAAGGAAACCTTCTAGAGAGTCCCTGCAGCACATGTTAAAGTAAATATAGGCCTCATCTGGAGTATTGTATCCAGGTCTGGGTACCATATTCCAGGAAAGATGTCAACAAATTGGAGAAGGTCCAGAGAAGAGCAACAAAAATGTATAAAGGTCTCTAGAAAACATGAGTTATGAAGGAAGACTGAAAGAATAAGTTTTGTTTAAGTTTGGAAAAGAGAAGACCGAAAGGGGACAGGATTGCAACTTTCAAGTACCTAAAACGCTGTTCAAGGAGGAGGGAGAAAAATTATTCTCCTTAACCTGTGATGATAGGACAAAATAAAATGGGATTAAATTGCAGCAAGGAAGGTTTAGGTTGGACATTAAGAAATATTTCCTTGCAGGGTGGTTAAACACTGGAATAAATTGCCTAGGGAGGTTGTGGAATCTCCATCACTGGACATATTTAAGAGCAGGTTAAATACCCATCTATCAGGGATGATGTAGACGGTGCTTGGTCCTGACCTGAGGGCAGGTGACTGGACTTGATGACCTCTTGAGGTCCCTTACACTTCTAATATTTTACGATTTTATGTTGTCAAGTAATAAAAAAAATAAAATCTTCATATCTCCCAATTTCCCCTGTACTAAAGTCCATGAATCTAATGCATTAACATGAGTATTATGCCCTAACTCAGTGTTTTCAATCAGAGCTGATGTGATCAAAATGAATCTGTTCCATAGTTTCTGGAGTACATCTAAGAGTGCCCCAAACTGACAATGCTGAACAAGCCGTACAGCTGAGCAGGAAAGATCACTCTTCAGAGACAACGTTGACAGTTTTGTGGCTGCTTCCACTAGGGATGTTTAAAGGGCTAACTGGTTAAATGATAGTGCTTCACCAGTTAACTGTTTTAACCTAGGTCCTTTGGATTCCCACTGCTGGCCTTGCCGTGGCAAGGGCCAGTCAACTGGTTAACATCCCTAGGTTCTGCCTCTGTTCATTCTGAGACAGTCTAAAGAAAGCCATGAAGACAGACAGAGAATGCATAATTTTTTCCACAATTTTTTGCTGTAGAAAAATGTGTGCAAATTAACGGATTTAACATTAGAATTTCACCCCATTTGATAATCAAAACTGCACTAAGAAAATGTTAAAGTTACATATTTGCCATACTTCTGTGTGGTTAACTTGCACCTTACAAGTGTAAATGTAACTGTCTTCTTTCTGGACAGGTTTTCCATTACTATTCCTCAAATGCTACAGTGTAGAACTAACCAGTTTTTCTATACCACAGATCTAACTATGAAATATCTTGTAATTGTTTTACTTACACTCATTTCAATGTCATAACGATGAGGTATATCTTGACTGAAACTTTTACATAAATTCTCTTCTCTGTAAGGGATGTATTTTAATAGTTTAGGCAGCAGCAACACACTATAAATCTTTGTAACCAACAATACTTAAGAGGAGACAATTAACTATGAAACTAGCTCAACATGCAAATTTAGGCAGCTTTTATATTCGAGAAAGTTTTCACTATTACTCAGGACAAAGAATAGTATGCACTTCATTTGTACAACACCTAGCACAAAAAACCCGCCAGGTATGACTGAAGCCTTCTGGTAATACAATTTAACAACATTAGACATCAATACTCAATGAACACAAATGTCAAAGATTTCAGTAATCTTAGCTTGCTGTGATCCACCCTAACAGAGCAGCAAGATACGTGTATCATAAAAACAGTGCTAAAGCCAAGCCAAGAGAAAGGAATGTGTTAACTTACTTCCCCCCTCCACTAGTCATTGCTGGGGTCGGCCTAGTTAACAGGTCTGAGATTTGTGAGGATAACTTTGTCTTTGCAGCTGTCTGTTGCTGGACTCTTACTTCTGCTGCATCTGCTAAGTGCATCAGAGTCTTTCGTTCTGGGCTTTCTTCAAAGTTTTTACAGCCAATACACTTACATATTGAGGAGCACATGATTTTTGCCTAAGAAAAACAGAAGAAAGGGTAACTGGCCTTAATATTATGTTATTCTCTATTGCTGGCTCGTAGAAATTATATATAGTTAGAAATTTTAATTATGGGCATGCACTGAGTTACATTTAGAAAGGAGAAAACATTTCAAAAGAAGGAAGTCCATCTTACCTCATAGCATTCACAATAGTTTTTGAGACATCCTGATCGTTTGCAGTTGCAGCCTTTGCTGTGCCGCCGATCTGATTCCCCTTCCTTTCCTTTCCCTATTTTAGGCTTGAAGGCTTCAGGGTTTCTATCAAGGCAGGCCTACCAATGCAGATCCAAAAGGTGGGTCACAGTACATTCAGGGAGCAAGAGCTAGAGTGGGGATGGGCTAATACCTGCCTGTGGGCTGGATCTAGTCCACCAGGGTTAGCTCCTGGCAGGTCCCCACTACTATAATAACGGGCACGGCCCAAGGTACAAGCAATTGCAGCCCCCGTTGGCCGTGGATTGCCATTCCCAGCCAATGGGACCTGTGGGAAGTGGTCTGCACCACTTCTGACTGCTCCCATTGGCTGGGAACGGCAATCTGTGGCCAACAAGAGCTGTGATTGCCAGTACCTGTGGCTGTGCTGGTAAATATAGTGGTGGCAGCTTGCCAAGGGCTAACTCTGGCAAACCGCTGGAGCGTTATTGCCCACCCCGGATCTAGAGGAGCTGTCCAGTAACTACAACACCAAGATTGTGCTGCAGTAAGTTACATTCTCTTCCCAACCCAACAGGAAAAAGTGACTACTTTCATCCCAGCTACAGAGAGATGCAAAATAAGAAGCAAACTGTCCAGTTTCAATAGCAGCACTAAGTACTTGAAACAGATACACTGTGACATGCCTTTCTGTTTTGCAAATTTTAAAGGAGAGAAACAAGAAGAGCCTCACCTTTATTGCTTTTTGCCTATCATTTTCATGGTCCAGGTTGTTATAACAATTAGTACAATTGCAGTTATTGCAGAATTCACCATTTGCAAAGCAATCACAATACCTGAAATAGAAGAACCAGAAGGGACTTAAACATGGTTTGCAGGTATCACACTAGCTGCGGTAGAAGTAGCCACAGTAAGTGTTTCTATTATAGTAACACTAAAAGCTGCAGTTGGGATGCGGACCCCTCTGGGCCACACACTGTACAGACCTGAATGAGACAATCTTTGACGTGGCGGGCATAGAGCGTAAGACCTCAAACTAAGGTAAGTGACAGAGATATAGTCTACAAGTAACATGGCCAAAGATCAGCGGCACTGCTTCTTTGATAGCGGCAAGTTTTGTGGGTTTTACTTGTTAATTTTTTAATTGGGGTAGGGTGAGGAATGGCAGGAGAAGAGAGGCTGGAGAGAGTGGGAAAAGGAATGAAGAGGGCAGCTCATCATCTGATCAGTCCCGATCAATTGCCAGGGTACTGTAGGCCTTGTGGCAAAGGTGAGTCTAAAGAAGGGATTAAAAGGAATATGGCTGTATGGATTATATCAGGGATTTTCCCCATGCATTAGGGTGGGAGAAAGAAATCACAAAAATACTTAACACGGGCTGATTGGGAACCTGTGCATCTTTGGTACCTCAGCACCTCACAGACTTTACAGCAGCCCCATGAGGTAGAAAAGTTCTGTATCTCCATCTTTAAAATGGGGATCCAAGGCACAGAGAAAGGAAGGGTCAGATTTTCAACGGTATTTGACATAATTTGAAATTAACTGAAAAATAAATGGAAGTCAATGGGAATTGGGTACCTAACCTGCGGTACGGGGTGGGAGAACTGCCACATGTGCAAGCAGGGGAAAGTTTCTCTGCAGCAAATGGCAGCTTGGCCAGTTTACATTAGAAGATTACACACCAGTGTCTGGGCACTGCTGGCCGTACCTGGAACCAATCACGAAGTGGACAAGGTCTGAGTTAATTTCTGTACAGCACTTTGAAGATGCCACAGGTTATACAAATGCAAGTGCATCATCATCATCTTTTCTCCCTTTCAGATTTCACAGAACACTTGGGAATCAGAAAGCTAATATCCAGGAGAAAGCCTCTTCTCTAGCACACATTTGGCACTCCATAAACAATGACCATGCAGACTGTGGGATGTCTGAAGGAAAACTAAACATACTCAGTTTGTTCTAATGTTATGACAAAATTCTAAGCTCAAAATGGTGTGCACGCCCACATTAGGAACATAACATGAATTACATTAAAAATAACCTAAAATTGGCTTGTGCGAGACAGATTTGGATTCATATGGCTCAACTTCTTTAACATTACCACAACCACTCTGAATGCCCCCTTCATTATGCAAGGATTAGGGAGTCACAAAATCATTTCACTACCTACTTCTGACACTGAACTATGAAAAAGTGTGGCATCACCCCAAACCTGAATGTCATCACACCAGACACTGATTCAGACACTGGAATGGAATGGCAGGAGATGGGACACTAGATGGGGAGGGCTCTGGATTACCACAGATAATTCTTTCCCAGGGGTCTAGCTGGTAGGCCTTGCCCTCATGTTCAAAGTCTAACTGATCACCATATTTGGGAAGAGAAATGATTTTTCCCTCAGCTCTGACTGGGACAGACCATGGAGGTCTTCACCTTTCTTTGCAGCATGGAGCCTCGGTCAGTTGCAGGTTTAAACTAGTGTAAATGGTGAAGACTTTGCACAGGGTGTAAAGAGTTCTCACAGTTCAGAGACTTAGAAAACCGCTATGGTAGACACACACTAAAGTCGCCAGTCTGCCTCATTATGTATGACAAGATTCCAGGGTAATGCTCTTTTTTATATACAGAGCTCAAATTTAAGAGTTACTTTAATATTTCTATTTAATTTTTGCAATACATCAAAATATTTGTTAAAGCGAAAATACTTAAAAACCAAAGTGCACTTACAGTTTCAAACACAGTGACTTTGTACAGTTGCATGGCTTCCTGGGGCGGTTTGCAGATTCGGACGGCATAATTCTGGAAAAGAACCGTTTTATTATTGGCTTTTCTTGTGAAAGTTCAGACTATGATCCACTGAAACCCCACAAGCCAATTTTCCTCCTATAATGTGAGCTTTAAAAAGCCTTTGTCAGGGATTACAAAACACACTATGCTTAAAAGAAAAGAATGAAAAAAAGGAGACAAGGTTAGGAGGAGACCATATGAGAGGAAAGTGCAACTGAGTGTGCTGCAGCCATTACCCCGAATAAGCCATGTACTATGGGGACCACATCTATATCTGGAGCAGGGTTTTGTGATGCTGTTGTCAATCTACCAAATCCAGCACCACAGAAGAAAAATTCAGACTATGCCTCTCCCTTCTTCCAAGTTATGCTTGAATTAAAAATGATAACAAAATGCCGAAAGGCATCTCTAGACTACGCCGGAGCTTTCGAAAGTGAAAGTAATTAAGACATGGCTTTTTCGGCAAACCCCCTTTTGTCGAAAAGCCACGTAACCTCCATTTTTAAGAAAGAGCGGCTTTTTGATGAAGGGGGTGGCTTGCCGAAAAAGCCATGTCTTAATTACTTTCACTTTCGAAAGCTCCGCTTTTAAAAGCGTGATTGGAAGAAGATATGCAAATTCCTGTAGTCTAGATATGCCCAAAGTGACTGTCTTAAGCAAGTAGAGACCTGAGCAAGGGACAATCAGAATATGAACCCTGCCGTTGAGTTCAACATAAAGAGTATTCTGTGCCAGTGATCAGCCTTAACAACCATTGAATACTAGGGTTTTTCAATGATCATACTTAGCCAATTATATTCTGACCATATGTGACCAATTATATTCTGACCTCTAATCCTGATGTGTCCCCAGAAGCTGAAGACAGCCATTTATTGTAGGGGTGCCATATAGAGGTTCAGGATCAGCTCAAACCACTTTTATGGTTTGCTTTGCATTTTTAAAAATCACAGCAGCAAACACTTTAAAAAGTAACACTTCCAGAAAAAGGCAGGCTCAGCAGAATGGGTAACATTTCTAAGTCTGCATGGGAGGAGGGAGAGGCATATCAATTTGAAAAGCCTGAAATTAGATTCCCAAATTCATATTCAGGCATCTACCTAAATGGGGGGGTTTTCACGATTGCTAAGCATGCTCCAATCAACTTCCAGGGAAAGTCCATGACCAGTAGCTCCTATGTGCTACTGTGATACATATGCGAAATAACCAAGGACTGGCTCTCTGTTCAAACTCCTGCTATGGAACTAGGGGAAAAAAATACAAGATTTGACATTGGATGAGTTTAGGGAGGGTAAAAGGCACTGGACTGACAGCCACAGAAAAAGATATTATTTATTTAGGCACAGAACAAGAACAAGAACAACAGCCTCCCCATCCAACCTTATTTTTCCTAAAAACACTTCAAACAAGGGTTTGTCCCATTTAAATAACATCTGACTATCTTTTTGGGAGGTTTGGGAGATGTAATTGCAAACTTTTTAAAGTATTTTCAAACTACTCACCCATTGAACGGTAACCTTGCTTGGGTCTGGATATTAGATGTCCCAGTAAAACCAGTGTTGCTTGCTATCGATACGTATGATGACTGCTGTAGCTAACAAAACACAAAGTTAATGTATGTTCTGAAGCGTCTACAATTTTATACAATGGGCTTTTTAGCACTCAGTTTTTAGTAAGTATCAGCCGTGTTAGTCTGGATCTGCAAAAGCGACAAGGAGTCCTGTAGCACCTTTAGACTAACAGATGTATGGGAGCATAAGCTTTCGTGGGTCTTCTGATGAAGTGGATCTTTGCCCATGAAAGCTTATGCTCCAATACATCTGTTAGTCTAAAGGTGCTACAGGACTCCTTGTCGCTTGTGTAGTTTTTAGTAAGTATTTCTGAAACTGCTATATGCCTCATGATCTCTCATAAGAGCATAAGAACGGCCACACTGATCAGACCAAAGTTCCATCTAGCCCAGTATCCTGTCTTCTGACAGTGGCCAATTCCAGATGCCCCAGAGGGAATGAACAGAACAGATGATCATCAAGTGATCCATCTCCGGTCTTCCATTGCCAGCTTCTGGCAAACAGAGGCCAGGAACACCATTCCTGCCCATTCTTCTAATCCATGTTTATGAATGGTTTGAAAGTCTCTGAAACTCACAAGAGCTAAGTAGTTCAAGGGTTACTCTGTATTCAGCAGAAGTGTCCTGGTCATTTTACACTATGTTTTTGTCCATTCTCTCTTAGAACCTTTGGAGTGCATAATTTTTAGGCCGCTTACATTATGTAATAACTTTCAGTTAGACACATGCTAAATAACTTGTATATCGACTATCTACAAGAATGCCTGCACCCGCCAGGTGAAAGCAAGGAATTACAAATGGACTGACCCCCTACAATCAGTTCCATTTTCTTTCTTTACAGAGTGGATCTTGGTGCCTGATGACTGCATTCAGGGCTGTCCTAACCAATACTCAACACGTGCAGCTATAGAGGGCCCCTGAAATCTGGCTGCTGTGTATGGGTCTCCAGTGGGCCCTGACGCCTTCTCCTTGGCCAGCCCTCAACGGGCAGGCTCTGCGCCAGCTCCTGTGGCCCACCCCATCCCCTGTCCTGGATTCCACTCACCAGGCAGTGGCGAGCAACATGAGCATGGGGTGGGCTCAGGAAGAGCAGAGGGCGCCTGTAGAGCGGGCAGCTGGAGAGAAGTGTCAGTTTCCCCATAAAAGTGCCCTTTCCTCCAGCAGGCTGCGTGGCCACCCTGATCCTCTAGCCTGCGCTCACGCTTGCTGCCACTCATGCCTTCCACTTGTTCCCCTGAGGCTGCCAGTTGAGCCTCCCACCCTGCCCAGGGTTGCCATTTCTCCTGACCAGACTCCATTTGCTACAATGGCATCTGGTCTGTA